GGGAGGGAGGGAGTTGATCTCTGTTGCAGGGGAGCGGAGGAGGGGCTGTGTCTGGCTGTCGGAGCCTCATGTAAGTTTCAGCATCCGGCCAGCTGCCCTGTTAGCGTCCGGGGGGAAGTCCGGACATTTACAAATTCCCCCCGGACACTATTTTTAGCTCAAAAATCCGGACATGTCCGGGGGAATCCGGACGAATGGTAACCCTAATGGACATGCAAGAAGACACTGTATTGCATTGTTGTGGTAACGTAGAAGTATTGGGCATTAATGTAGCTTTGCTTAATGTTAGTACTAGACCGAGAATAAAAAACGATTTTTACACAAGGATACGCATGCAAATATATCAGCTACTTATGAGTACCAAAGGAGAAGGTACAAAATACTGTCTATTTTACGTTTTTATAAATATTTATTTTGCTCCCCTGTTCCCCCCCGAAAGTGTATCCCAGTGTGAAAATCCTGCTTTAAAAGTATAATCAGAAAAAAATTATTTTCCCATAGCTTTATATGGTAAATGTGTTGTTCTTTATCTTTAACATTTAATCCTCTGTGGATACTTAAACAAAGAATTCAAGTGATTCAGTAAAGATAAATGAATGCCGACTGGACTGTGGATTAGTGGTCAAAATGTAGACTCTGTCTAGGAACTCTCTTTTAGAAAAGTGATCCAAAACAAATTATTTCAATGGCTGCAAGGATGTCACAGTGGCATGTGAAACACAGTGGTTTATTTACACAAATATTAAAAACTGTATTGAATTTGGAAGCTCTAATGTGAGTTTTAGTAGCAGATTAGACAACTCAGATCCAAAAATCAAAGGCATGAAGCTGAGAAGACCTAAGTTGTATTAACTTGCTTGCATTTATTTGAGTTGACAAGCAGGTCACATAAAAACAACAACAAACAAACAAACAAACAAAAAAAAACAGATATGGACCTGATTTGCTAAGATTGGATCTGGATCAGAAGTTCACCAAAATGTGAGGGTGTTCATATCCCGGGTTTTGTTATGGACCATTTCTCCTTGTAAAAATTTCAGAGTATCAAATATACTAACCATTATGCATGCCTTTTGAAAAATGTACATTAGTACATGCCTAGCATGGCATGGTGTGTATGTGCATCTTAAGCAGAGCTATGTAAACCCAGCAGATTTTCAGTTCACAGTGCTGTCTGCAAATTAAACCCTGTAGTTTGTTTGCCGTGGATTGGCCACATGCCAAACCCTCCATGCTCATCTGGATGTTTTTCAACCAACTCAGACTTCCAAGGAAACATCTCTACTGAGTTCCTTCCCAATAACTTAGCTAAGAGTTCCCTTCTTCCCTGGTGACCCCTCTGTTCAACTGCCTAATCAACCAATAAGCCCCATTGTATTAAAAAGCCCCTCTGCATTTTGCATGCTGAGCTTACAGGAACATTGATCCCAAACCAGCATTTGGACAGTGCTGACAGACACTTTGGAAAGTGCTGCTGTCAAGAAGAATGCTTCTTCCCTAACTGACATGTAAGATGCCTGCTCTACCTGGGGTTCCCATGAGAAGAAAAAGCCTCCAGAGTGCAGTATTTCTTTGTTCACCACAGCACAAAAGCCACTTTGATCCAGGCCCTTAAGGGTACATCTACACTGCAGCTGGAAGTGGGCCTCCCAGCCCGAGTAGATAGACATGTGTTAGTAGGACTCCGGCTAGTGCACCAAAAATAGCCATGTGGATGATGCAGTTCTGTAAGAGAACATAAGTATGTCACTGAGTTAAACAACTTCAGAAACAGGCTGTGCTACTTTAAAATGCTTTTTGTGAAATAAACTAAAACCCTGGCAGTCACACGCTTTTCCATTCTCAGTCTCTCCACTGTCCAATGCTGTTTCTGTGGTTCTAGTAACAGCACAGTAGAATTAATGTGGAAGTTTAAATTTCCACTGGGGGAGATGTAAAAATATCTAACCATTTTATGTAGAGGAATTATACACTGAATAAAAACTACAACATGTATGGTATGTGAAATAAGAGCACATTAAATATGTTCATGGAATTGATCCCAAATATGAGGAAAGACATTTGAAATGTGGAGATGAAATTAATCGACAGAGCCAATAATAAATATCTGTGAAACTGATTCCATTTGTGAAAGACTACTTTTAGATGACTCTTGTGGTTTTGCCACTGTTTAGGCATGAGGTTCTGGAAACCCTCCCAGACCCCATAAAGGCTCATTATATACCTTCTGAATATTGCATGTGGTGTGACATTTCAGTGCTTGTCTTCCTTTTGGCCTACACTCTTACCTCCTTAAGTGGTGTCCTTGTCAAATCCCAGAGTTAAGCAGAGTCACCTTAGGTATTACTTGGATAGAAGACCCCCTCAGAAAACTCACTTGTTGCTCCTCACGACCCCAGAAAAGTAGTTTTGGCTGCCTAGGAAAGGTTTGTAGCTGACACACCTCAGTGTGCGTACTGAACCAGTGCCCCAGCATGGTATTAGTGGAAGCTTTGCTGATGGAGGATTTCTCTTGAATACGTATATTTATAGCCTTGACCACCTATAGTCATTAAAGACACACACCCCCTTTTTGCAATAGTTAAGTATGGTTGTTAATCCCAGTATCGTGGCCAAATGCCAACTCTGCTCTGATTTGGCAGTCCCTGTAATCCCTTGATTCTCATGTCTAACCTATGCTTTATTGGATGCTTTAGAGGAAGATGAAGCACATATTTCAGGCCAGTTTTCTGTGTTCCTCCATTTGTGTGCAAGGTGCTGGAATGGGTTGGGGCTGGGGAAAAGATGACTCTCAGACATTTTTGTGTTTCCTTTGTTCTGGCCCCAATCCCCAGCACAACTTGGAGCAGCCCAGGATTATTGGCTGCTTGGGCCTTCTACCCTGTTTCTCATCAGCTTGGTGCCTCTCTGATGGGATCTCTGCACCTCCATTCCTAAATTGTATTTGGGCAAAGTATTCTTTCCTTCCTGAATGATTGTATAGAATTGCTGGTGGATGAGTGCCACATTTCAGGACCAGTGCTGGCATATTTTAAAGATGAGTCTGAACCAAAACCCCAGATCCAAACTCTTCAGATTTTGGAACAGTTTAAGATCTGGATATGAACTTTGCATCTTGGGTCCATTTCCATTTGTGTGTGTACGTACACTTGTGATAGAAATAAGCAATAATGCAAGACTGAGTGTATATTTCATCAATTAACATAAGCACACCTTGAAACACATAAAACGTGCATATACTGGCTGACATTCAAACCCAGTGCCTGAGTGCATACATTGTACTTGGAGACTGTGAGTTAACACCCACTCAGGATGAATGAAGCTAGTTCTTAACTCTCTAAGAGCTTTTGTTTCAATTTGTCAGACCTGGACAGACAGATCTACAGATTTAGTAAGAAAGACAACACTGCACCCATCCACATTTAGGTTTTCTTCATAATCGGGATGAGAAAATTAGCATATTTAAAGTGATATCTTAAATATTGTGGAACTGATGGGGCCATGAGAGAAGTGTTATCCTGGCTTGCTGTTGAGTTTTGGCTCAGTCTGACACCCGAGATGGAAACTGGAAATTCATTCAGCACAAGTGAAACACCTACACATATGCCTAGGATCTCTCCTTCTTGTGTCCAAGCAACCAAACTTGACATTTCTGTAGTATGATGTATATAATAATGCCCTTCATAAAAGGGAGCTTGAGCCTTCATGGAGTTCACCAACAGCCATGTCTGTTTCTATGGTGCCCTGATATGTGTGTATCTGATGGTCCTGAAGGAAGTTTTGAATGAAAGGGTATTAAGACAAGAGTAAGGAAAATAAAATTATGCCACATATAAAGATAAAGCTTCACTGGGATTGAACTTGCATTTCAATTGCCAGCTTCTGTGACCAAGGGCAGGTAAATGCATCCTCTGTGGGGTATTAAAACATAAATACATTGGTGATCATGAAACTGTCCACATGGTGGCACACTTATTCCACCAGCATGACATTCAGACACCCAATTTAATAGAAACCCTCATTAATTTGTAACAGGCAGGAACAGCTCACCTTTAAAGGCCTGACACTGTGATATGTTTAGCACCTTGCTGGATCAGGCCAGGAACTTACATCTCTGCATGTGCTTTTTTACATTTTCCTTTTTAATAAACTCTCTCTACAACATCAAACAAACATAATGACTTTGCAAGTGTGACTTAAGCTAATAAGTCTTTAGTAAAATGTGTGTGTTCTGTGTTTGTTTTTCCATTCTCTTTGCCAGAAACGCCTTGGTGTTCTCCCATTAAGGTGAAACATGGTAATGCAAACTGCAGAACACCTCAAGGAGAATATTACAAAAATGTCTTGGGGACGAGATGTGATATCCGTTGCCAGAAAGGCTATGAACTGCATGGTCCTCAACAGCTTATTTGTCAGTCAAACAAACGCTGGTCTGGGAAAGTTTTGTGTAAACGTGAGTAGATCATACTTGTGTGTGTATGTGTGCACATGTATCACTGTTCGTGTGATAAACTCATCTCTGTCTAATATCTAATGTCTATGTGAGTAGCGTTTATATTTAATGTCAGTGCTGGGATGGGGAGAAACTTAACTGATAAGAGCTGCTCTTAGAGTTAACTCTGTTTATCTTTGGGCTGTCATTCATATTTTGAATTTAAAAATAAATATGTCTTTGTGAAGCCGTAGCTAACTTAGCTGCACCTGTTTCAGACATTATTTACATAGCCCCTGTGATGTACATGGTGCTGTGTGATAGGTGGACTGTGTCAAATAGCTGAAGGCAGAGCAGCTTGCAGTCTCAAATCATGGCAGGTGCATTATAGAGGAGTGAGAAGACAGAGTGAAGAGAGGCATTAAAGGCAGGAATGCTTCATGGAATAGGTGGGCTCTGAGTCTGTAGAAATCTTTCTGAAACTGAGGGGTTATAAGAATTCCCCTTTGCAAACATATTAAAATACTGTGGGTAGTTAATTCTAGCTGCACTGTTAATTGTATGTCATTTTGCAAAATTTGAATGTCACCAGGTTGAATGGGCCCACCATTAGTTTGTGAGCGAAAACATTTTGACAAAAGAAGGGAGTGGGCAGCTGGCCTTTCCTTAAAATAATTTCATTCCATTGGGCTAACTTAGCTGTATGATAGCCAAATTTGAAGTCTGTTTGAGGAGGGAAAATCATATGAATGGTTTCACTTGCTCTGACTGAAAAAATCCTAACCATGTTTTGTTCACATACAGTACTGCACATCTGTTTCCCCCCCACTCCTCTAGAATGGCAAAACAGAAGATACTGGATGCATTTGTTTTCTTTTACAGAAATACGGTGTCCAACGCTGTCCATGCCAACTAATGGGGGGTTCAAGTGCATAGACGGCGCGTACTTTAACTCAAGATGTGAGTATTACTGTTCCCCAGGATACCAGCTAAAAGGAGACCGGACAGTAACATGTATGGACAACAAAGTTTGGAGTGGCAGACCAGCCTCCTGTGTTGGTAAGTAAGATGAGGTTTGCACTTCCTAGGGAGCCTAGATTTAAAGCTTTCGTAGCCTGTTAATGCTAAAATATTTTAAATGCATTGGAAACATGGCTACTGCATCCATGTCAGTGAGAAAATAGAGTGTCTTTTAGAGAAGCATTGGAACAATTTGCCTAGGGGTATAATGGATTCTTCATCACTTTAAATCAGGATGGGATCTCTTTCTAAAATACTTGCTGTAGCTCAGACAGAAATTAAGGGCTTGATGAAGAAATTACTGAGTAACGTTCTATGGCCGGTGCTATGCTCATAATAGTCCCTTCTGACCTTAATGTCTATGAAGCCTGTTGTAATTATTTGTCCTTCCTCAGCAGCATCTTGTACCTGCGGCATTGTGTCACAGACACAACATCTTAAGCCTAGAAGAGAATCAGAACTAACCAGTATGGTGGGACTTCCTCGGTTACTTTTGCATCTTGGGGTCATGGACTCCCAGTGAATTCTGGGGAAATGAGGACAGGCTTTTCTGACGGGAAAAGTTACATTAGGCTAGGATACATTTTCAGCCCCGTTTACATAATTCTCCTTTGTACTAATAAGATTTCATCAGAAGATATAGCCAGTGTCTCAGCTGCTGCTGATGTTCTTGGGAAGCTCCTGATAAGGGCTCACTTTCCAGTCACCCAGATGTGCAGGTCTTTAGCCATTTGAATGGGCCACCAACAATTTGATTTCATGGCTGGAGCAATATTTGTGTTTTTAATGATGTGTGTGTGTGTGTGTGTGTGTGATACTATGGTTTTCCTAGAGATGCCTGTGGCTCAGTCTAGCTTAGCGGGTGAAACAACATTGGAGTCTCCCTGCTGTGGCTTTACATTCATGGGGTTTTGTTCAATTTTACTGTTACTTTTTGTCTTGCAATTTTATACATGCTCCTGCCTGTCTATCTTCAGACTAAGTTTGTGGTTTATCTTGTGTTTTATATGCAAATTCAAGTCTGGCCCTTTTGCAGGGTTGGTTTTATGTGTGGTGGGGGAAGGGTGAAATGTCATCACCTTTTCTATGACCTCACCAATTTGCACTGCTGACCTGGGCATCTCACTGCAAATGACAGTGTAGCACGTGTACTTGAAATGTTCCTTTAACAAATGCAGACTATCAATATTTATAACTTCACAGCATGTGAATGTGTTCTATAGTAATTCTGTAAGACAGTGCCATAATTAAGTCCTAAATGCAGCACGTTGCTGTTCAGTAAAGAGAGACACCGTCCCCCCACCCATGTTTTGGGTGCAAATCGTGGAGTGTGCAGGTTAGTGAGGTGCTTATTAATGAAGTTAAGGTTGCCAGGCATCCAGTTTTCGACGGGAACACCCAGTCAAAAAGGGACCCTGGTGGCTCTGGTTGACACCACTGACCAGGCCATTAAAAGTCTGGTCAGCAGGGGCCCCGGGCTAAGGCAGACTCCCTGCCTGCTCTATCTCCGTGTGGCTCCTGGAAGCGGCCACCGGGTCCCTGCAGCCCCTTGGCACATGGGCGGCCAGGGAGTCTCAGCTTGCTGCCTGCACCCCAAATGCCGGCTAAGCAGCTCCCATTGTCCGGGAACCGCGACCAATGGGAGCAGCTGGGGCGGCACCTGCGGGCGCGAGGGCAGCGCGCAGAGCCTTCCTGGCTGCCCATGTGCCTAGGGGCTGCAGGGACCCGGCGGCCGCTTCCTGGGAGCTACAGTAAACACCACTGGGACCCCGCACCTTCTCCTGTACCCCAAGTCCCCTGTCCTAGCCCTGAGCCTGCTCCTGCACCCTGAACCCCTCATCCCCAGCCCCACCCCAGAGCCTGCACTCCCAGCTGGAGCCCTCAACCCCCTCCCCCACACCCAACCTCCTGCCCCAGCCCGGAGCCCCCTCCTGTACCCCGAACCCCTCCGCCCCAGCCCAGAGCCCGCACCCCCAGGCAGAGTCCTCAACCCCCACACCACAATCCCCTGCCCCAGCCCAGAGTCCTCCACCCCCCTGCACCCCTACTCCAGCCCAGAGCCCTCTCCCGCATCCTGAACCCCTCATTTCTGGCCCTACCTGAAGCCCACACCCCCAGCCCAGAGGCCATACCCCCCTGCACCCCAACCCCCCACCCCAGCCCAGAGCCCTCTCCCGCACCCCAAACCTCTCATCCCCAGCCTCACCCCAGAGCCCTCACCCCCTCCCACACCCCAACCCCCTGCCCCAGCCTGGTGAAAGTGAGTGAGGGTGGGGGAGAGCAAGCGACAGACAGAAGAGGGATGGAGCGAGCAGTGGTTGGGATCTCTGAGAAGGGTCGGTGCAGAAAAGATGTTCCCAAACTGTGATCTGTGAAGAACTTGCTGGTGGCCTGCAGAGAGCTGGTCGGTCCCATGGTTCTGTCTCTCCTCCTTGTTTACAGCTGAGAGGGATAGAACAAGTGGGAGGGAGAGAGGAAATGAAGACCAAAGGGAGACATTTTACGTGTTACTTTTTCATGAAGGCAATTCCTATAGGTGCCCCGGGGGCATTAAGCGATCACGAATGGGACAGGAAGTGGGATCCACCCCACTTTGAATGGGAAGGGAGGTATCTGTGGGATCCTCTTGCTACTAAGATGTGGTCCATGCTGTGCAAAAAATATTTAAAATCCTGAATTAATGGTGTTTTTGCAAAATGTCAGGTTTAGCTCCACCCTTTGTTACTGTAGCTTCACTGTTTAAATTTATCCAGCTCAAAGCAACTGTAACTGAATCTTGGCAACAGCAATCACGTAGAGCTTGTGGGTACAATATTAAAAATGCAGCTACATACAGAAGTCATGAGCTAATTTCATATTATTCAGTGAGATGGGCTGCACTGATTGGCCTATGTATTTGTTTATTTAAACATATTAATTCAACATTTAAAAAGCAAAATAGGATTTACATTTGGGTGAGAATTAGTCTGCAGACTGCAAGGTGTTCATTTATCCAAAGCCACATGCATGTTCAGCAGTAACCTTGGGAAAGAACGAAAGGTCAGGTTTAGTCTATTCCACCCCAGAGAACAAGCTGTAACCCTGCTGTCATATTTAAAATAAAATAACTGGCATTTAAAAGTAGCACCAGACACAGATCAGCTATTAGCAAAACAAGACTTTTAAATCTCAGGTGGTGGTTATATTTTTCTGACTCGTTTTAAACACACGTGCCAATATTTTTGAACCTAAAGTTAGGCTTCTAAATCTGTATTTAGGCTCCTAAATAGAAACCCTCTGATTTTCAGAGATATTGAGTACCCACAAACCCCACTGAAGTCAATGGGATGTGTTGTCAGTATTGTATTGATTTTTGTTCTTTTGTTAAAATTTTATTCTGGTCCCTTACTCCCTGGCTCAAAATTGCAAAGGTGTAACCGAGTACAGAGTTTGGCCCATTGTATGTGTAATACCGACAGACCCCAGTTGTGGGCGGGATCGAACCTGGGATCTCTGGAGTTTAGTGCATGAGCCTCTACTGCATGAGCTAAAAGCCAACTGGATCTTAGCTAAGGCTGGAGAGCTAGCTAGCTCGCTCGCGCTCTCTCTCTCTCTCTCTGTGCAACTAGATGGGACAGAACACCACACCCAGGAGGTGTGTGGGTTACATATGTTCTGATGGTTCTTCATGATGAAGCAGCTCATTTTGCACTAGAAAATAAACTTTAAAAACCCAACTTATGTGCTCCTACAGCTTCCTCTCTTGGGCCAATAACAACAGGTTGGAGCAGTTGGAAGTTTAATGAGTGAAAAGTCTTTAGTTGAAAACGGTCTTTCTCACTAATGAAACTTCCAGGAAAAACTCTTGACTTTTTTGGAATGTTTTTGTTTTTCACAAAATTTATGTTTGCAACATTTTTATCAAAATGATTAAGTAAAAGTTTTATTGGAATCATCAAAATAGTTACCGAAGTGCAGCAAAGTTTGGTAACAATGTTAAGAAAAGTTTGGTTTAGAAAATAATGTTGATTAAAAAATTTCAGAAAGAATTATGAGGAACAAAATATGTGTCCTTTACCAACCCTGAGAAGTGGAAAAAAAACATTTTTTTCCCCCACAACACCCTTCCTCTCCCCAGTTTCTCAACCAGCTCTACTTTCTAGTGGGGTTCGTGTTTGGGGTTGGTGGCTGGCCCCAGGCTGGGAGTAGGCTTACAGACAGGGAGTAGCCATGGGCCAAATTTAGGTTTGGGAATCTTGGATGTTTTGGGGCTAGGTTTAAGACCAGCTTTTGGGCCCAGTTACCATTAGGACTGGATGATAGCTCTGTGCTAGTGTTAGGGTTGGTTACTAGGTCTCAAGCTAGGGTGAGGGTCAGGACTGGGAAGAGGTAACAGGATAGGGTTAGGGCTGGGCACATTTGCCAGCTGTGGGCTAGAGCTGGTTGACATTTGCCCCCCCCCCTCCTGGTTTTTAAAAAAATGAAATGTGACTTTTTTCTAAATGAACTTTTTCACACAATACTTGAATTCCTTGAAAACTTTTGTCCAATCGAAACCAGGTTTTTCAGGGGGTGGGGAGGAATGGCAGTAACCACTTTGTATAGAAAATATTATCAAATTGTGGGGAAATTAGTCCACTTCAGTCCCTGGGAAATGGAAATACCTCAAAACTTTGAAAATTCTTATTTTTCAGCCAGCTGTATAACAGATGTTGTGGTAAATAGCCTTCACCATTCTACTACATCCTTTATGTTACATCCTATAGAAATGTTAAGACCGGGGTGAAAGTAACTTAAAGGACTTACCGGTACACCGGAGTCCTGAGCAGGGGGGCGGGGGCCTCAACCGGAAGGGGCCTGGCCTCAACTGGAAAGAGGCAGTCTGTTAAATCCCCGGGCCCTTTAAATCAAGATTTAAAGGGCCTGGAGCTCCGGCTGCAGTAGCTGCGGCTGGGAGCCCCAGGCCCTTTAAATCACCACCGGAGCTACCAGCTGCAGAGGTGGCTGGGAGCCCCTGGGCTCGGGGTCAATTTAAAGGGCCTGGGGCTCTGGCTGCCGCTACCA